CACCTCCTGTCACCCTGAAATCTGTCACCTACCATTGATAAAATTGCCTAAAAGGGTCATCAAGGACCATTTGATCGACAAAACCAATGATCCTATCTTCATCTTTCCTGCAGGCAATGAAAAACCTGTTTAATATATATACATTTCAGGTAATATAATAATTATATACATTACATATAATTTACATATATACACACATATAATCCCCTTTGTGCCCATATACTAACTCCTACTTATTAGAAACTTTAAAAGGCCCCTTGTTTTATGATTATAGACACTAAAAAAGAAAACCTGTACTAGATATATCTAAATACATATACATATAAAAATGTTCAAGCAGAAACAAAAAATATTTCCCAAGACATGATATTTTATGTGGGAAGATGTGAGAAGAGTACAAAACCACTTTTCACACAACGTATCTGAAGAACTACATTAGTGCAGTTATTTCTGAAGCATCTTTCTCTTTTCAACCAAACTGAAACCAAATGATAGAAAGCTCCTCCCATCATCACAGCTACACATCAATGATAACAGGATATTAGGAACACATGATGTTCATAAGTGAAGGACTTGCTTTATAAGCTTTTACCACATGATCTAGTAGATAATTCAATGATTGTGAAAAATGCATCTTCCCATCTCCCATTTCTCAAATGACCTAAGTTGTTCTCTCTAATATTCTGTTTCTCCCTCACCAAGGGTAACGGTTAATATTTTTTCTTTAAAAAAAAAAAAAATCTAGGCTTGCACTGCCCAGAACAGTAGCTTCTAGCCATATGTGGCTACTAAGCATTTAAAATGTAGCTAGTGTCTGCCGAAACCGGTTTGGCTCAGTGGATAGAGCGTTGGCCTGTGGACTGAAAGGTCCCAGGTTCGATTCCGGTCAAGGGCATGTACCTGGGTTGCGGGCACATCCCCAGTAGATGTGCAGGAGGCAGCTGATTGATGTTTCTCTGATCAATGTTTCTAACTCTCTATCTCTCTCCCTTCCTCTCTGTAAAAAATCAATAAAATATATTAAAATAAATAAATAAATAAAATGTAGCTAGTGTAGCCCAGCCAGTGTGACTCAGTGGTTGAGAGTCCAACTATGAACCAGGAAGTCATGGTTTGATTCTGGTCAAGGCACATGTCGGGGTTTCAGACTCAGTCCCTGGTGAGGGGTGTGTAGGAGGCAACTGATCAATGATTCTCTTTCATCATTTATGTTTCTATCTCTCTCTCTCCCTTCCTTTCTGAAATCAATAAAAATATATTAAAAACGTGGCTAGTGTGAATAAGATGTGACATAAGTGTTATACTGTACTTTATTTATTTAATATATTTTATTGATTTTTTACAGAGAGAAAGGAAGAGGAATAGAGAATTAGAAACATCGATGAGAGAGAAACATTGATCAGCTGCCTCCTGCACACCCCCTACTGGGGATGTGCCTGCAACCAAGGTACATGCCCTTGACCGGAATCGAACCTGGGACCTTTCAGTCCGCAGGCCGATGCTCTATCCACTGACCCAAACCGGTTAGGGCTGTACTTTATTTTTTTAACAAATGGTATTTTGTATTTATTGGATTAAATTAAAATTAATTTCACATGTTTTAAATTTTCACATAAAAATGTAAAACTAAATATGTGGCTTATATTATATTTCTATTCGATAATGCCATGATAAGGACACAAACAAAAGGGCTAGAAAAGATATAACTGTCATCCTTTTGCAGTATGTTACCAATAATTTTCTTCTGAAAGTCATTTTCATGAATTGTTCCAGTAAATTTATAAGAAAAGATTAACGGCATACACTTGATTTTCTTTCAATAACAATGAGCCTTAAGAATCAGTTTATTTTATCCATTCAAAAATTTCCTTAAAAATTCTAAAATCTTGCCATTCCTCCCTCTTCCAAGTCATTTTTTGTAAAAATCTGTTGGTCACAGAACACTGAAAGTAAATTGTTTCAGAGAAATTTAGATCCCTGGATTAAAGTCAGTTTTTCAAGAATATTAGCACTGAGTAATCTCACAGTTATTCTGGTTGACCAAAGACCCATTGCTCAATGTTAACAAGTGGGAGAATGGGTGTGGTGATAAAATTCCAGTACTCTGAGCTGGATATTCAGGGAAAAAAAGGCATTCCTCTATAATGCAGCAAAAGCAGAATCTCACTGCTTACATGTCTACTTCAATTGTGGATTTGGGGGTGAGAGAGGGGAGGGAGAACAGAACAACCTGACAGCAATTTACTAACCATACTAAGGCTCAGGTTATGAAATCCAGAAATTAAAGCTATTTGGTTATCTTCTTTTTTTTTTTTTTTAATTTTAGAGAAAGAGGAAGGGAGAGGGAGAGAAACATCTAACAGTTGCCTCCCACATGGGTCCACAACTGAAAATCGAACCCACAACCTGGGTATGTGCCCTGACTGGGAATCAAACCTGAGACTTTTCAGTGTACAGGATGATGCTCCAACCAACAGAGCCACACCAACCTGACATTCTTTATTTGCAAACCTTGGGACAAGTACCACCAATGAATTATCACATTAAAGTAATATTATCCTTCATGATTTGATAACGATAATGATAAACCATTTATTCAATGTTTCTCCCTTGATAGAACAAATTTACATTAGTTCATTAATATATTCTAATTAATTATTTGTGTGAGTGAGGGCATACATTTATAAGACAGTTAAGTACATAAAAGTGCAAACTTGGCTGTAGAAGAAAAGCTTTAGAGAATGACGAAGTATTATTATCAGGCTTCAAAAGTTCTATAACTAAAGCAACTAAGTACAAACTAAATTTTTCTGGCTACAGAATTAAAAATTTTTTGCCCTGGCCGGTTTGGCTCAGTGGATAGAGCGTTGGCCTGCGAACTCAAGGGTCCCAGGTTCGATTCCGGTCAGGGGCATGTGCCTTGGTTGCTGGCACATCCCCAGTGGGGAGTGTGCAGGAGGCAGCTGATCCATGTTTCTCTCTCATCGATGTTTCTAACTCTCTATCCCTCTCCCTTCCTCTCTAAAAAATCAATAAAATATATTAAAAAAATTTTTTTTCTTTAATAAAAAAAAAGCTCTAGAAATCCTGGGGAAAAATAGTTTCCTTTTGGATGATAAAACTTTAATACATAATTAATTCCCATAGGAATGCTATGCAAAATGTAGGGCCAAGAGCCTTGGTTTCTACTTGTAATTTTGCCATGCGTGTGTAGCAGGCATAAAGTCCTTAAGATTTTGGTAGTTATTATAGTTCAACCTCCCTTCAGTGCCAAACGTCTATAAATAATTTTTAATCGTAGATTAAAAGACCTATCTCATATTATCACTCCAACTGGAAGTGATCTGTACCAATCCCTATAAACTTTTACAAAACTTGCTTGTACCACTCCACAGCGACCAGAGGCTAATAAAAATTAATACCCCTCTACAGTCTCTACTATAATGTCTGTACCTTTTATATACCAATACATTTTACTGGATTAGTTGGACGGTACTGGGCAGCAATGCCGTTCCTGCTTGTTGATGCTCCCCAACCCCCAATTCCCCTTACCGGATGTGGCCATCAGCCAGCAACAGGCAAAGCTCGGGCCTAAACTCTAATACATAAATCACACCATCAGCAACAGCTACATTTAAGAGTTCATAGAGGACCTAGGACGTTATGGCCTCGCAAGCTTTTCCAATGGCTATCCCTTGGCTACACCTGTAATCCCAACATCCCTGGCATACCCACGTTATGGAAAAATCTGAGTTAATGTCCAAGTACTGATTATCTACACTGGTGCGATGTATACAAAATACCACCAATAAGAATCCTTTGACACATCACTGGATGAATGGAAGCAAACATCCTATCGAGAGTGACGCTGAATTGATTTCCAAGTTGTCTACGAGTACCATCCAGTCAGACACTCAGTTCATCTTCGTCACTGCACGGTTCTCTCCGTTGTGACTTCCAAAGGGATCCTACTGAAGACCCCCGAATCACTGCAAAGCTCAGATGATGCCTAAGCAAACTCATCCTCTCTACACACAAATGCAATATACAGGTTATCTATTTGGACCAGGGGTGGGAAATCATTTTCAGCCCTGCCTCGTAGTTAGAGGTGAGCTAATTAAATGTTTGACCAAATACAGCAGGCTCATTGCTAAGCTGATAGTTCTGTATGGCCCGCCAGCGATGTTATAAATATCCAAATGGTCCCTGGCAGAAGAAAGGTCCCCCACCCCTCATCTGGACCCACATTTGCACACTATCCAGCACCACGCACACTCTTCAGTGATGGCCAGGGCTCGGTGTTTAGTTCGCCAAACCCGCCGAATGAGGTCAAACAGGTATCTGTCTTATGTCAAGTCTCATCCTACGGCAAAGACTACTTTATCAGCGATGACAGTTTTCTACCTCCCAGCAACCTTATTAACGTTGACTGTATGGTCCATGCCAGGGAGTCCATGAAAATTCAATTCTCAAAGACACGCTCCCGCGAGCTTCGACAGGTCGGAATTGAGACAGAAGGCCCTCGAGTTTTATCAGGAGACCCACGGGGCTTTTGCCTCGATGCCCAGGCAGCTTTCGAAACTGCAAACTGCTTGACTGGCCTCTTCACCAGGGCAGGTGTGGGGAACTGAGTTTTTACTTGGGGCACGCTAAATAAAAATCAGGATTAAGCACTGGGGCCAGCAGCAACCCGACAAGGTAAAAACAATTCCCTGGTCAAGCCTTTAAAACCCCCTTCTCCGTTGCCGACTGAAGGATGCAGCTAAACATGGGAGCTCGAAACATTCGGCTTTTCTTTAAAACGACACAGCTCTTTTTTTGTTTCTTTTTTTTTTTTTAAATCACATTTCCCCACTTGTTTCTACACCTTCAAAGTCAGCGAACACGACTTTCCTGGCAGATGCGCCGCCCGCTCGGGAGAGGCTGGCAGACACGAGCAGGCTCGCGAGGGGAAGGTGGCAGGGAGCTTGACAATGGCACTACCCGGCGCCCTCTGACCTTCAGGAGATCAACAAGTGGCCCTCTAGCCCGAGGGCCCGGTGAGTGCGGGGCCCAGGGACAGAGGACGAGGACGTGGCCAGCCAGGCACAAAACAGTGCCCCGCAGGACGTGAAGCCGAGAGCCGGGGTTCGCCGGCAAAGCCCCTTCCCAGAGCGCGCCGGGGGTGAGCGGCGGCCTCTGCCCCGGCTGCGCGCCCAGGACCACGGGGTCCGAGCCGGCTCAGGCCCACCTCCCCGAACTGGCAGAAACACAGGCCGGGGGCGAGGGAGATCCCGGCGGCGCCGGGAGCGAAGCCCGAGGACAAAAAGAAAGCGAAAAAGGACGAGGCTGATGAGAGAGGGGGGCGACCCCTCGCACTTACCTTGCCTGCTAGCACCGGAGGACAGGGTGCCGCAGCCGCCGCTCACCCACCGGCTCCGCTTGCGCGCGCCAGCACCGCCTAACCGGAAGCTGCCCCTCGCCCCGCCCCTGCCGCCTCGCCAGCGGCCTCCCGACCAATCAGCAACAACCGCGCAGCGGACGCAGAGCTTCCTTGGGTCGCCATTGGCCCCACAGTCGAGTAGCCGGGATTGGCTGGAAAGCGCCACGTCCCCGCCAGCGCGCCCAGCTGCGTGGACCGAATCCCCGTCCAGCACTGGCCCTGAGTCCGGTGGGGACGGCGGGCCCCAGCCCCCTCGCCCCGGGCAGCTTGTGGGCGCGGCCGCCTGCATCCGCTCCTGGGTCACAGCGCGTGACTGGGCCTCGGCAGGGCTTCTTGGATGACCCTGCTGGTTACCTCCTGCCCCAGCGCCTGGGGTTGGACTCATCCCACTGTGCTGTGAATGAAAAAGGGGCCACTTGCTAAACCCGAGCCGCTCTGGGGAGGCCTCCACAGCGGGCCTTACAAACTCAGAGGCCAAAAGCAACCACACCGGACAGTCTGAACATAAAAGAAGTCTGTCTAAAAGCGGGTCAGGGTGGGTGATAGCTTCCTTGACAAAGGTCAATCTTTTTTAAAATTATTTTTTATTTATTTTTTAAAATATGTTTTATTGATTTTTTAAGGGAGAGGGATAGAGAGTTAGAAACATAGATGAGAAACATGGATCAGCTGCCTCCTGCACACCCCCTCTTGGGGATGTTCCCGCAGCCAAGGTACATGCCCCTGACCGGAATCGAACCTGAGACCCTTCAGTCCACAGGCCGACAGCTCTATCCACTGAGCCAAAAACGGTTAGGGCAATCTTTTTCTTTTTAATATGTTTTTATTGATTTCAGACAGGAAGGCAGAGGGAGATACAGCAATGATGGGGATGGAGCCCGCAACCCCAGCATGTGCCTTGACGGGTTATAGAACCCTGACCTCCTGGTTCATAGATTGATGCTCAACCACTGA